GAGCACTTAACATAAAATATAGTGATTTGGGGGAACCAGATAACAGCCATAATTTATTTTAAAAAAGGAATTGAGAAAAGCTGAATTCCAAAGCAGTACTCACTGTTAAAGTAGGGAGCAGTGAAAACATAGTTATCGTTATCTAGGCTCCTTTTATAGAAGCTGTCCTCATATGTCTCTGGGTTTTCTTGCCAATTTTCTCCAGCCCTAAGAAGGAAATGGCTCATCATTTGTATTCTTTAATCTACCTGATAACCTACTTTTCCCTTTGTGGACACACTGAACTTCAGAGATACGCCTACATCTCAGGTATGTCTGAGGAAGTTAGCAGTAATTGATAGTGTAACTGATATTCATTACTAAGAAATATATCAACATAGCATTATATTAAGAATCAGGAAAAGCTGGCTGCTAGTTTTACTCTGCTATTTACAAGGCAGGTAATACAGACAGGTAAGTTAATAGGTCAATATTAGTAAGCCTTGGTGTCTACTTAGCCTACTTCACAGACAAACAGAGATAAGACACATCAAAGAACAGTGAAAACAATGAAGTGCTACACCAATATTGCTAATAGGCTATCATCATTACGTTAATTTAGCTTGTGTTTATAAAGAGAAAAATCTCTTTAAACATCTCTTGAATTTTGTGGTAAATATACATGACAAGCAATAATATCATTGAAGAATTTTACAGTTTTCAGAAAAATGGGATAAACACTGACTCCAATTTAATCGACCAACAATGATCAGTTTCTTTAAACGGCTTCCTTATCCAGTAATGTAGACATCCTTGGCAGTCTTGTAATGTACCTATTTCTACAGATGTTATTTGAACTTACTCTTTGGGGTAAACTCTGGTAATCCCACCATCAGTCACAACAAACCGTGCTTTCACTCCCTTGCTGAAATAGAAGACAAAAGAAGGAAATGTTTTACTAAACTTACTCTAAGATACTGAGAAATAAAACAAGTTTCCTAAAATAAAGGGAGCCAAAGTAAATATATCAATAGATGCACAAATATGCTTTAATAATTGAAGTATCTATGAAATAAGTACTTGAAGGATGTTTAAGGAAGGTATCTCATAGGCAATAAAGATGGAGCTGCATTTTGACAATGGAATGGAAGTTGACAGGGATGACAGAAAAAGCAGGAAGACATTCCATGGAGAGCAAAAAGTATAAGGGTAAGCTAGTGAAGATTGCTGGTGTTTGGTGTAATAACAAAAGCATAAGGGAAAAAGGAGAGAAACAGGAAGTCAAGTTTCAAGTACAAGTTTCTGAAGAATGGCCAGTTCATGAATGACTTTGAATTCCA